ACACCTAATGGAACTGCGTACATACCCAGGCTAAAAATGAACATGAAACCTGACTTTTTTGTTTTGGTGATATCTCTTTAAAAAAATAATAGTAAAAAATCTGAAAAAAATAAACGGATGTGCATTTTGAGGGTCTTCAAGCATTTGCAAAGTTTTGTTCCTTTTATACATGTATATGAGTCAAAGATGTTAAGATGTCGCATCAAAATACATTTAATAAAGTGATTTTATGTCCATAGAAAGCACATTAAGTGTAAGTAAAGTGTCTACTTTTAAGGTTTCTACTTTAAAAGTTTTTGGAGAATAAAATGTCAAAATTTGATTGAAATAATGTTACATTGTCATTCAGTGTAACACAATACTTATATAAAAATTCAAACAACATGCTTATTCTGACGTGTGCATATTAAAATATATATAAAATAATAAGGGAGCATATTAAATTTTATTGAGTTTTAAATGAGTAAAAACTTCTTACTGACAAATGGGCAAAACCTAGGATAGTGGCACATTTTAAAAATGTAAAATTACAGCTGATTAGTATTTGGGGTGAACGTAATTAGTCTTTTAATAAGTCATAAATTGATTTTTGTTGTAAATATGCCTGACAGGATTGTTACACTGGGTGACATTTTAGTGACTCTCTTCTGTAAATCAGGGGAAAATGTATCATATTTATTTTTTGCTCGGAAAAACAAAAACAAAATTGCAATTAAATTAAACAGAAAACTTTTTACTTTTTTTGGGAACAACAACAACAATTTAAAGCAGTATTACACTTATTGTTTTTATGCTTAAACCCTTTTTCTTCTTTGACCCATTTTTTATAAATATATATATATATATATATTTACTAATTTTTAAATTTGGGTTAAAACCTCATGCGTTATGAGGGTTAAACTCTTTTGATATTTGTGTTTTAGTTTATCCAGAGGAATCATCTGAGACAAACACGCTACTTCAGTGAAGTGTAACTGAGATTTGCCTGAGCTCTGAGTGATTAAATAGTCATCATTAAAAACTCAGAACGCACAGTCTCTGTTTGTAATAATCAGGGTAAATATTAATACTAGTTTCTGGCTGTTGGGTTTTACCGTGTGTAATTGTTCCTCAACCCTTAATTAAATGGCTGAAAATGTCGTTAGTCAGTGCGTCATTATTCGTTCATGAGAGCTGATTAGATGTTTCTGGTCAAACAGAATGAAGAATGTGAATGTTTAGCCGGAGAGTTTCTCTGTCTCGGTGTTGTGTGAGATGGTGGACCAACGGTTAAAGACAAAACCTCTACTTCTAATCAGCTTAATGTTGCTTATTCAGAGAGTGTCTTTGAGAGGGGTATAGACGAGGCTGTTAAGGCAGGTTGGTGATTAACAAACATCAGTAGACTTTGGAATCTGGTGGCACTGGGATAGAAAACCGCCGTTCGCTGCTTCCAGTTTTTCCCATCGCTCTCTTGTCTTCCTCATTCTTAGCCCAGGGCTGCAGATGTTTTGTGAGCTCTGAAAGAGGGAAGTCCAGGCATGCTTTGCATTTTTAGACCCCCTCGTGAAGCTTTAGTTCCTCTAAGCTCGTTTTGAGGACGTGAGAGACTCTTGACTCGGTCCTGTCAGCGTGCATGGACAAAATCAACTAGCCCGCGGTCAACCAGCTAAGACTAGTCAGTGTTGAGGAGGCCTGGTGCAGTTAGGCTGGTTTAGGATCATGTTGACTAAAAGTCTTTAAATTTGGTGTTGACAGCAGTGAAATGAAGACATTAATGTAAGTGGCCATTCACGTAAAAACAAAAGATGAGGGAAGTGGAATACTAAAAATGTTTTAACCTAATTTAACTTTAAAGCAGCAACTGAACTCAAGTTTTTATTTGGCTGTGCAGGTCATTTCAACTCATCTTGTCTAGTTGAATCTTGTATAACGTAAAAAATGAAGTTGAAATTGGTTCAGTTGTTTTGAGTTGACATATTGGAAAAACATATGCTGCCATGACTCATTTTTACAGTAAATGGGGATAATTTTTTTTACTTATTTGTGACCCTGGAGCACAAAAGCAGTGTTAAGTCGCTGGGGGATATTTGTAGCAATAGCCAACAATACATTGTATGGGTCACAATTATACATTTCTCTTTTATGCCAAAAATCATTAGGATATTAAGTAAAGATGAAGATATTTAGTAAATGTCCTACCGTAAATATATCAAAACTTAATGTTTGATTAGTAATATGCATTGCTAAGAACTTCATCTGAACAACTTTAAAGATGATTTTCTCAATATTTAGATTTTTTTGCACCCTCAGATTCCAGATTTTCAGATATTGTCCTCTCCTAACAAACCATAGATCAGTGGAAAGATTATTATTCAGCTTTCAGATGATGCATAAATCTCAATTTTGAAAAATTGACCCTTATGGCTGGTTTTGTGCTCCAAGGTCACATTTTAACATAAACATCTTAAACATGAGAAAAAGATGTCAGTCTAGTGCATGTTTAACATAGGAAAAAAGCAGTACTGTGGAACGCAAAAACATGGTTTATGTCACGCTGAAATGCACAGCGCTGTATAGATCTAGCAATTTAACATAAACATCTTAAACATGAGAAAAAGATGTCAGTCTAGTGCATGTTTAACATAGGAAAGAAGCAGTACTGTGGAACGCAAAAACATGGTTTATGTCACGCTGAAATGCACAGCGCTGTATAGATCTAGCAACATCAAGATCATGGGTTCAATTGTTATTCACACGCAGTACTGCGCAAGTCTTTGGCACATTAGATGCTTGTCAAAAACATTGGTTTTAAGACAGTTCTTTGTTTTTCACAATGTGAAACTTCTTCTAGATGCTTAGAACAACCAACCTGCAGGGTACGGTACTATGAGAAGTTTTAGCCACTGCTTGTAAGGGTTATTTATCTATCACGTCGATATTTGGTGCGTCCACCCTTTGCTTTGTCCCAAGGGTGTTAGGTACTCCTGTGCACCATTTACAAGAAAGTTTGCAGGAAGGTTGTTCTAACGTCTTGGAGAAGATTGCACGGTCACCGCGTTAAACCAAGTGATTTTCTGAAGCGTCTAATGTGCCAGAGTCTTTAGCACAGCACTGTGCGAGCTCCACTTGCACACCTTTGGATGCTCTGTATATCGCTTCGGGTGAAAGCTTCTGCAGAATGTAAAATTTGATACGTTTTTTAAAAACCCAAGATGTTGAAAATATGACAGGCTGAGCTCAGGCTGGCACGCCAGAAGGTTTTTTCCCTGTGCTTCTGCTGAGCTGTGCAGGCTGAAGGTTTTGGGTGCGTTACATCTGCTAGATAGATTTCTGTCAGCTGCTCTCCAGTGGCAGCGAGAGGATCAGATCTGTGAGTCCATGTTACGCTCTGCCTGAACACCTCAGCACACATTGCTGCTCTTAAAATGGCTGCCCTTGAAGCTCAAAGGATCTGTGGCGCTCAGTGGCTGTCCGAGCCGCGCCAAGCACATGAAAGCTTTACAAATTTCACCCCATTAGCCTGGAAGTATCTGACGCTCCGGCGGATGGGCCGCTAGGTGCAATTTTGTGTTGTTCAATGCCTCTAGTTTTGCATTTGTGTTTTCCTCCTCTACCAGACTTCATGGTTTGTCCAGATATGGCTGTCGAGATGAGTGTAAGTTTGCTCTGAGTTCCTCTCGAGTGCTGGAACACATCAGGGCGAAGCTGAAACTCGACCTCGAGAGACAATGCCTCCCTGCCCTGGGACACACTGGCAGTGTTGTTGAGAATGAAGGTTGAAACCAGTGTCTGCTTTTACAGTTTGAGGCCACAGGTGATAAGCCATAGGTGTGAGAGCTCGGATATCTTTATTCTCGACAAGAGAGATCTTCTCATCTTGCAAGAATTTCAGCCATGAAACCTGTTTTCAGTCTAGTGTCTGTTGCATGTACTAATTTGATGGGTGTTTTTAATCATTAGGTATTAAACCCTTAAGCATTGATGCATAGCTCCTCCTGCACCACTTGTGCGACAGACATGATGTGATATTGCTGTCATTCTAGTATTTTCATTAGGTGGGTGAAGCAACAATAATGTAGGATGGGATTTAATTTGGTAACACTTTGGTTGACTAGAAGTAACTTTGCAACTACTAACAGTCATTAGAGTAGACTGTCTGCTTAATATCTGCTACTAACTCGTAACTTAACAGTCTGCTAATACTGTAATGACTGCTAGTTAACATGTAGTTGCAAAGTTACTTAAGTGGACTATCAAAATAAAGTGTAACTCTTAATTGTATCTAATAGGATTTGATTGCACCATGTAAAGATAATATTGATCAATATTATTATTACCCAACCGCATTGCCTTGGTTACATCAAAAGAAAGGTTTTTATTAGCTTTTGATGAACGTAAACAATATTTTTTTGGAATTGCAAGTAATGCAGTGAATAGGAACAGTGAAAATTACTAAAGTAAATAGTGGATTTTGATTTCACATCATCTTTAAGGTGCTGATGTTGTATGATACCTGTAGTTCATGCATTTGCGTCTCTTGTTTTAATAACAATTGCATGTCCTTGATAGTATTTTAGTCCCTTTTCTTGGCGAATTAAGAGTCTCTTCACTGATTTGATCTCAGTTTGTCCTCACAACCGGTAAAAATGGTTCATTGTGCCTTTAGAATGAATAAGATCCAAGTAGAATCTATTTTGTTTGTTTTTACAGCATTCAAGGCCTCCTCTAATGTGTAGCGTTGCACTAAACCCATATAACACTGGCCTTGACATTGAGGCCTTTTCTTGCAGAAATCACCAGCAGAATGTGTTCTGGTGCGTGAGCCAGCCAAGGCTGAAGGTTTACTCTGGTTTGTGTTGATGGCTTTCAGATCTGCAGTGCTGGTACCGTGCTGTACGACTGCTAAATGCATTCCTGTTGTTGAGTTCATGCTAATATTCATGTCCTTGCCACACAGATCAGATAGAGAATGACCCATGATGAAAGAAAAACATGTTCGTTGTTTCTGTACATAACAGCACTGGATCTTCCATACTGTCAGAGAGATCGACTTTCACCATGTCAGATATGTCTAGGTCTGGCATGGATCTAGATGCCAGCATGCTGAATGATTCCAAAAGCAGTTCAGATGATGAACTCTGTGACTTGGATGATCCCAGTTATACAGAGTCAGCTGAGGATTCTACTAAGCTGCTTCTGTCAGAAGAGGATAATGACCTGCTGGAAACTAAAGGAGTTCCATTCAAAAGACACATGAACAGGTTCCAGTGCCCTTTCTGCTCCTTCTTGACCATGCACCGGCGTAGTATTTCTCGTCACATAGAAAACATACACTTATCTGGCAAAGCTACGGTGTATAAATGTGACGAGTGCCCCTTTCTTTGCACCAACCCACTTAAACTTGACGCGCACAAACAATGTCACGGTGGGTCTTCCGAATGGGACACTATGGACCTAACCAGTGAAAGTGTAGATGGTCCGGCTGAACGCTCCGAGCCGGTGAACAGGGGAAATGGCAGCTCTAAAATCAACGGGAAAAAATCCAGCACAGTCGAAGAACAGCAGGGTCCTCATCGGTGCTCACTGTGTAACTTTTCCACCATCACACTGAAAGGTCTACGTGTCCACCAGCAACACAAACACTCATACTGTGATGGAACACAAGTCACAAGTCAAGAGGGCTCGTCCAATGAGCAGCAAGATTCGGAGTCCGAGTCCTACAGCTCCTTGAGCTTCGTTCAGAAAACTCAGACCTCAATCCTTGGAATTTCAACCAAGAAGCATCTTATTGGGAAGACGGCAAGAAAGTCCATCAATGATTTGCCTTTGGATCTCTCTCCTGTCAAAAAACGGACGAGGATTGATGAAATTGCGAACAATCTCCAGAGCAAGATTAGTCAAAGCCAGCAGCACGAAGATGTGATTAACCTTGAGGAGATGGATGATGGCGTGGAGGAGAATGGGAATCACATCGATTTAGAAACAAGCAAAGAGAGAGAAACCTCTAATGCTCGAAGTCAGCACTACACCTTCAACACTCAGCACCTTCATGTTAGAAATTCTGGAAGTCTTCAGACAGAGCGTGGTGTTGGGAAAAGAAAACGCAATCTGCAGTCCAAACTTGGATCAAGAAACATTCCTGTTCAAGTAACCATTTCTGATGATGAAGACAATTACAGTGCCTCTATGGAATCTAAAGATGCCCAAGATCAAAGCAGCCAAGATAGCAGAGAGATATATCAAGACAACACTGAATACAATACTGAAGAACCTGGGAACCTGTTCTACTGCAAACATTGCGAGTACCAAAACAAGTCTGCTCGCAGTGTCAGCACACACTACCAGAGAATGCACCCTTATATCAAGTTTAGCTTCAGATACATCCTGGACCCAGAGGATCAGAGCGCAGTCTTCCGTTGTCTCGAGTGCTTCATCGAATATAACAACTTTAATGATCTGCACCAGCACTATATGACACACCATCCAGAAGCAAGCAACGTTTTGAACTTTAACCAGCCAGATCTGGTGTACATGTGCCGTTTCTGTTCCTACACAAGTCCAAATGTGCGGAGCCTGATGCCCCACTATCAAAGAATGCACCCTTCAGTGAAGATCAACAATGCCATGATCTTCTCCAGCTACATGGTCGATCAGCCTCATAAGAGTGCTGCTGAGTCCCAAACACTGAGGGAAATCTTGAATTCTGGGCCCAAGAGTTTCAGCCCCACCTCATCTGGGTCCAGATCATCATCCAGTCCTGCTCTCAAAAGCATCTGCAAAACGCCAGAAGCAAACACTGAGACTGAAGCTTTTCGAGAAAGTCTGGGTGGTAATGTGGTGGTTTACGACTGTGATGTCTGTTCTTTCTCAAGTCCCAACATGCACTCCGTATTGGTCCATTATCAGAAAAAACACCCCGAGCAAAAGGCCTCCTACTTCCGCATACAGAAGACCATGCGGGTCATATCTGTTGACCCAGCACAGTTGTCGAACAATTCAACCTACAGCCTGACGAGCACCCCCAAGTCTTCAAACGTCATCTTGCCTGTGGCTCTGGATGAAGATGTTTACTACTGCAAACACTGTGTCTACAACAACCGCTCTGTAGTGGGCGTTCTGGTCCACTATCAAAAAAGACATCCGGAGATTAAGGTGACAGCAAAGTACATAAAACAAGCACCCCCAACTCCGGGACTGCTGAAACTCATGGATGAGTTACAAATCGCACCCCCTAAACAGTTTCTGAAGCAATTCAACAACAACGGTATTGAAGGATCAAGTAATTCCAACACTAAAGGAGCATCCGACCAAGGGGAACCTGAAATGCTGTTCTTCTGCCAGCACTGCGACTATGGGAACCGCACTGTGAAGGGGGTTTTGATTCACTACCAGAAGAAGCACAGGGACGTGAAAGCCAATGCCGACCTCGTCCGTAGACACACGGCTGTGGTCAGGAGTCAGAGAGAACGAGCGCAGATGATCCAAGCGGGAAGTTCCACGTCCACTGCAACTGTAGCTACTGAAGCAGAAAAATCCAGGGCGTTACGATCTTTGAAGTGTAGACACTGTGTGTACACATCTCCTTATGTGTATGCCTTGAAGAAGCATTTGAAGAAGGATCATCCTACTGTGAAGGCCACGGCCATGACGATCTTACACTGGGCTTATCAGGACGGTGTGTTAGAGGCTGGTTATCACTGTGAGTGGTGCATATATTCTCACGCTGAACCAAGCGGGCTGCTCATGCATTACCAAAGACGCCATCCTGAGCACAACGTCGACTACACTTACATGGCCAGCAAACTGTGGGCTGGTCCTGATACTTCCGCCAGCAGACAAGCTGGGAACTCTGAAGCGAAGCATTACCAATGCAGAGATTGTGCCTTTGAGGCGTGCTCCATCTGGGACATTACTAACCATTACCAAGCAGTACACCCTTGGGCCGTCAAAGGTGACGAGTCTGTCCTGCTCGACATTATCAAGGGAAACCAAGCACCTGATAAGCTGCTCCCACAACTGCCCAAAGGACACGTTTCAATGTACAGTCCGTTCAACAGCAACCAGCAGGAAGAGACTGCAGTTGAAGTCAGTCGCCGAACACATGAGCGACAACCTAATCTCTCTCTGTCTGTCGCGTCGTCTATCTCAAACAACCCTTACCAGTGCACCGTGTGCTTGTCTGAGTACAACAGTCTTCATGGACTTCTGACCCACTATGGCAAAAAACACCCGGGCATGAAAGTGAAAGCTGCTGACTTCGCTCAGGATGCAGACATCAACCCTAGCTCTGTTTACAAGTGCAGACAATGTCCGTACGTGAACTCGCGCATCCATGGAGTACTCACACACTACCAGAAACGACATCCTTCCATCAAAGTCACGGCTGAAGACTTTGCCGATGATGTCGAGCAGGTAAACGAGTTGGTTAACGAGGGGGATGAGCGATCTAAAACCCAGAGGCAGGGCTACGGTGCTTACCGCTGCAAGATGTGCCCTTACACACATGGCACTTTAGAGAAACTCAAGATACACTATGAGAAATATCATAACCAGTCTGCCGCAAACATTTTCAGAACAGCTGCCATGCAGTCACCAACCAGAAGAGACGATTTGGTTGCTGAATGCAGTAGCAGCAGTGTGACCAAAGTCTCTGAGGTCTGTGACTTTGACCTCGCAATTCCCGAAGTCGCAAAGAGTGACAATAATGCGGTGTTTACATGTCAGCTGTGCAAATACTTCTGCTCCACCCGGAAAGGTATTGCTCGTCACTACCGTATCAAGCATAACAATGTCAGAGCGCAGCCCGAAGGGAAGAACAATGTCTTTAAATGTGCCCTCTGTTCCTACACCAACCCCATCCGCAAAGGCCTCGCAGCACACTACCAGAAACGGCACGACATTGATGCCTACTACACGCATTGCTTGGCAGCATCCAAGACGGTGGGGGAGAAACCGAACAAGGTGATGGTGCCCTTGGCGTCAGATGCAGAGGCTCCAGCGATGAGCGAAGAGCTAAGGCTTGCGGTGGACCGAAGGAAATGTTCGCTCTGCTCCTTCCAGGCTTTCAGCAGAAAGAGTATAGTTTCTCATTACATAAAGCGCCACCCAGGAGTCTTTCCCAAGAAGCAGCCCTCCAGCAAACTGGGCCGTTACTTCACTGTGATCTATTCCAAGGAGGCAGAGAAACCTCCATCTACGGAGGAGGTGGAAATCGTTGAAGTTAAGGATGAGGTGGAACCTGAAGGTGACGTGGACTGGCTCCCCTTTAAATGCCTGAAATGCTTCAAGCTGTCGTTCAGCTCGGCGGAGCTGCTGGTGATGCATTACAATGACTGTCATGACAAGGAGCTCAAGCGGGATTTCGTCAACATTCCGAGCCCAGCAGAAGATGGGATGGAGCTCTACCAGTGCACCCACTGTGAAATCAAGTTCTTGACTCTTCCAGAACTCAGCGTCCATCTGATAAACCACAATGAGGATTTCCAGAAAAGAGCCATGAGGCTAGAAAGAAGAAAACAGCTTCAAAGCAAGCAGAGGACGACGGAGCCACCAGAAGCCAAACCAGAGAATAAGGTGAGCTTAAACACCTTGTAATGGGTTATAAGTGGTTATATTAGTTGATTTGATTGTCAAAATGAGTTGAAGTTTGGGCTGGTTACCTTGACTAACTTTCCAAACTAGATAGCATCTAATGGTTTTCTGTTGTCATTGTCTCTTCCTATAGGTGGAGAGCACACCCGATAAGACTCCCATCGGCTACAGGTGCAACTTCTGCGTGGAGGTCCACACCACCCTCCGGGCCATCTGCAACCACCTGAGAAAGCATGTGCAGTATGGGGAGGCCAAGGAGGGACACGTGAAGGTACGAACATCCAAAGTTACTTCATGCTTCATCAAGGGCTTTTAGAAAGCATGACTGTATGCTAAATCTTCTGTGATCAGATTTATACAGTTGCATTAGTTTTCTCATCTATTAAAGGGGTCATATGATTTTGCTAAAAAGAACATTATTTTGTGTATTTGGTGTAATGAAATGTTTATGCAGTTTAAGGTCCAAAAAACTAATTTATTTCCACATACTGTACATTATTGTTTCTCCTCTATTCCCCGCCTTTCTGAAACGCATCAATTTTTACAAAGCTCATCGGTCTGAAAAGCGAGGTGTGCTCTGATTGGCCAGCTATCCAGTGCGTTGTGATTGGCCGAATACCTCAAGCGTCTGACGGAAATGTTACGCCCCTCACCATACTGTGATGATGCCCTGTCCGGGCGGAGCGACGAGACAAAAACATTAAAACCCATTATAAACCAGGCATTCGTTGCATCCAGTGGGGACATAATTACTGATTATAATGACTTATACTGTCTTTTTACGAGTTGCGTTACATCTTGCCGCGTAACCCAAAAACCATTTGTGATCGGACTATATTCAGAGCTTTTTGTCCTGAGGTGGCCTGTCTTCTTCTGCTCTATTCTAATAGCAACTGCATTCACAAGCCGTTTGGACCCGTTTTTCTTTCCACTCAAGTGTCTTGTTCACTTGTTTGGATTGTTAAACCACTACAATTCAGCTTCACATTCAATGAAATGGACAAATAGAGCAAATCCTTGAGTGTTGCAGAAGAAACAGGGTAAATGGACGAGTACGGTGTTATGACATTTCCTTAAAGTCAAGCATTTTATTTCCTTGTGTGGGCATTCATGAAAAAAGCCTTGAGCGTGTCATAAAGTTGGTCATGTAATTAAATCTAGTAGCCTTGTGTTCCACGTTTTGCATACAGAGAATGAAATATTTTTTCTTATTTCTAAAGCTCTTTTCTGAATGTGATGCTGCCTTAGAATGTGGACTAAATTTGGTTTTTAGAAGCCAACAATGTTGCTACCAACTTTTTTGAGCAGCCTTTCTGTCAGGAGTTCTGTCTATGATGCCTCAAAATGCTTTCTAGGGAGGGTAGTTGACACAAAATATGTCAATGGACTTCAAAAGATATTAGGAAAACATTTATATTAATGTAGAAGGGAAAGTGCATTTCTTAGATCCACATTTAATCAACTTTTATCTTGAATAGTTGATTTAAAGTGGTCCTGCAGTGTGACAAATTAATTTTTAAAAGTGCATAAGTGCATAATTAAACAATGAATTAGCAAAATGCTGCTTAAAGAGCATAAATGTTAGTTTCAATTAGTTAATGCATGGTTGCAATATCTGTATTATAGAAGTAATGTATGCCGTTTTGTACAGTGTGATGGTTTTCATGATGATTAACAGTAGTGTTTAAGGTGGTTTGTTTCTGCAGAGAGCTGCATTTAAACATGGCAGAGTCCAGTTTGTTTATCACAGCAGAATCCTGAGACTCTCCATGCAGCCCTTCCGTCTCTCTGAAGAGAAAGCCAGTTAGGTCGTCTTGACGGGGTAGCGTGTAGAGAGGCGTGTAAGCGCCTTAGTGTTAGTATTCCACTGAGAGCGCCAGTGCTGGCAGGGAGGCCCGGGCCTAAGGGTTTGAACAGAAGCCCAGTGAGGATCAGCAGACGGGATGGGTCGCACCGGGCACTAGGGGGCAGCACTCTCAGGCACAGATCACATACTCTGAGCAGAGACACATGGGCAGGGATTCCCAAAGTTTTTCATCAACTGAAGCCCTTTGTTACTTCAATCATCTATTTAAAATTTAAAAACCCATTTGCATGCATGTTGGTTAATATTCACGCCGTCATGAAGTTTTTTTAAGTCTCAAGTCTCAATTTATTTATAAAGCACAATTAAAAACAACTACAGTTGACCAGTGTGGTGTACAATGTTGTAAAAGACTTATAAAAACATGGATACAAACCAAGCAAACATCAGACAACAAACAACATCACAAGTCATAGGCTATAGTGAAGAGATACATTTTTAACTTTGATTTAAAAATATGTAATGTTGGTGCAGTTCTAATATGGATCGGTAACGTGTTCCAAAGTTTAGGTGCGGCTATGGCAAAAGCTCGATCACCCCTAGATTAAAATTTTTGACTTTGGAACAGTTTTTGGAACAGTTATCTCTGGTTGGCAGACCGAGGAGTTCTTTCCGGATGTTATTCACACAACAGGTCGGAGAGGTAAGGGGGAGCGAGGCCATTTAAACATTTAAAAACAAGCAAAAGCACTTTAAAATCAATTCTAAAGCGTACTGGGAGCCAATGTAAAGACATTAACACAGGAGCAATATGTTCGTATTTACGAACACCGGTTAAAAGACGTGCAGCCGCATTTTGGACCATTTGTAATGCACTTCAGCACTGCGTGCTTGAACCCCTAAAAAGCATGAATTGCAGTTTCAAAGTGCTTAAAAGAAAGAAAGGTCTTCACTTTAGCCAACGTTCTTAATTGGTAAAAACTTAATTTAACAACTACATTTATTTGCCTATCAAATTTAAGTGCACTGTCGAAAAAGACACCCAAGTTTTTTACACCTGATTTAACTGAAGAAGATAAAACACCAGAATTTACGTGACAAATGTTTGGGACTTCAGAAGAGCCAAACACAATGATTTCTGTTTTACTCTCATTTAGATTAAAAAAATTCAAAGTCACCCAGGCTTTGACATCGGAAAGACAGGCACAGAGGGAGTCTACACCATTTTTATGCTTCAGGGGCAAATAAAGTTGAGTATCGTCTGCATAGCAGTGATAGAACAAGCCATGCTTTTTAAAAATAGTGGCTAAAGGAAGCATATATAAAGAGAACAATAAAGGGGCCAAAATAGAGCCTTGGGGGACCCCACAAGTCAGGGGGACCGCCCCAGAAAAATATCGTTGTTTTTAGTTTTTATGTTTTTAGTAAGTGTTCAGTTTGATTGATTTGTTTATTATTTTACTTTTTTTCCATTCAAGAGGAAAAATGCATACATTGACCAAAACAGGTATAATTTTTATAATTAAACAAAAACATTCATGTTAATATGGATGCAGAATGATTACCAGGTATGCATGCCATCAGTCCTAGAAACAAAATTCTCAAATTTTACAGAGATTTTCTATAATAAGAATGTTTGATTTATTTAATTAATAGTTTTTCATCAGTTTGAATTACAGTTTGGGAAACCTTGTACTACTGAATAGAATATTGGAATAATGTGCTGTATACAGCGTACTATTTATTTTGTCATATTTTCAAATCAGTATGCAATGTTAAATGTTTAAAATAGTAATATGACCTCACTGTTGTGGCATCTAGTTATCATGGATATGGTGTGTATTTTTAATCTTTGTAATCACTTTGTGTTAAATATCAGTTTGATCGATATAATGATTCAAGAATGGGCTGTTAAGATAATAGTTGGTATCACTTTTTAAAGGTCAAATCTGTTACTCTATCATCACAGTGTTGTGTTTTACACAGACAAACTCTCAATTTTTTCAGAAAATGTCCAAATGTATTTCTCTGGTTGTGTTTGTGTGTCTGATTGGCTGATGGTGCAGGAGTGTCCTCTTTACATCCGTCTGAAGTGCAGGGTCAGTTCTCTCTCTCTCTGAGATGCTGAATTTCCTCTGGCTGTATAGCAGCAGATGTCTCAGAAACACACAGGAACCTTGCAGCCATTTCTAAATTAAGAAAAAGGGATGTCCCTCAGATAGCTTTAATGGCCGTAAATCAAACACGGATCATCTGTGCTTCAGTCCAGAGCTGATGATCACCTCCAAACCCAGAGAGAAATATCATATCAGTGTGATTATTAAAGGTCAGGAACCTTAAATATGTCAAGAACATGTTTCACCACAAAATGAAGAATGTGTGTAAACTATATACTGTAAAGATGTGAATGAATGAGGCATTTATATAGTGCTTTATTGTGTATTGCTGTACACCCAAAGTGCTTTACAATCATACAACGCTCACCACACACTAGCTACAGGTGGAGAGGAGAGTGAGTGATGGAGCCAATTCAGTGGATGGGGATTATTGTTTTTAAAAGAAGTCTGTTCTGCTCACCAAGGCTGCATTTATTTGATCAAAAATACTGTGAAATTGTGAAATATTATTAAAATATAAATAGCTGTTTTATATGTGAATACATTGCAAAATGTAATTTATTTCTGTGATTTTCAGCTGGATTTTCAGCATCATTACTCCAGTATTCAGTGTCACATGATCGTTCAGAAATCATTCTAATATGCTGTAGTTTATGTATATTACAGTAATGAGAATTAGCGGTGGAATGTGTTTAATTGTCATGAAAACAATGTCACCATGCAAAGCATCTTGCAGATTTTGTCCTTTATGTCCTGTATGAGTAATATCAGTCATTTTCTCTGACAGCAGGAAGCAGCGGAGATGCCTGTTGCTGTTCCCATGGTCGGAATCACCAACGGTGACGTGGAGGATGTGGTTGCCATGGACGCTGACCCATTGGAGACTACTGGTGCATCACCGCCTGACGTCACCATGGAGACCATGGAGCCGGTGGCCGTGGAAACTGAGCCGATGGTTGGGCCGCTGGAGCCGGAGAAGGAGCGTGTGGTTCCTGGGCATCCGTGCAGTATGTGCAATCGTATGTTCATGTCCATGCAGGGCCTGCGCTCTCACGAGAGGAGCCACTCAGCTGTAGCGCTCGTCAACAGAAACGACAAATACAGCTGCCAGTACTGTCAGTTTGCCTCGCCGTTCAGACACAAGTGAGTGAGCTTCAGATTCCTTTTATTTTTCATTTTTCATGCTTCACTTAAAAACGGGATTACGTTTGACACATCCACATCTCAGTAATTCAGTGCAAAAGTATAAAATGGCTAATAAATGAGAATACTAAATAAATAAACTAAAATACACTAAAATGGATTAAAAAAAAGTGCAGGTCCCATTCTCAGATTAAGCATTCTGATAGCTGTAGGGTAAACGCTGTTTAACAGCCTAGTATCATTGATCTGATACTTCTGTATCTTTTACCGGACTGCATCTGTATCTTTAACTGTTTCTGTAGAAAGAAACTAATTTTGAGAAAACACCCAAAAAATTAGAGACTTAAATAGATTAAGTGCAATAGAAAAACAGGCTAATGACATATGAACAAACCCCTCAGTAAAACTCTTCAGAATAGTATTAGGAATAAAACTGTAAAGGTTGGTGTAAGTGCTGCTGAAGTGGAGGAAGAAACTCACAACCTTTAAAAATATGCATTTACTGCATGTTTTTTGGAATAAAATGTTGTCAAAATCTCTGTGAATGATATATGAACAAACCCCTCAGTAAAAACCTTCAGAATATAGAGAGGAATAAAACTGTAAGTCTTAGTGTGTGCAGGTGTTGCTAAAGTGGAGGCAAAAAAACGTTTAAAGATGCGTGTTGGAATTAAAATCTACTGACGCAAATAGATAAAGTGCAATAAAATAAACACTTAAATTTCCACTAGTCCACTAAAAACACATTATGAAAAGACAAAAAGCCCAAAATTTCAAAATAGACCAATGCATGATTTTGTCTTGTAGTGTCTCGGCTTCAAGCACTAAAATAATAAACATTCTTAGTATCTTACATCAAACAAAGAGAGCAGGAGATGAATAGATAAATACAAAAAAAACTCCTGAGGGAAAACATACACTACCGGTCAAAAGTTTGGGATCAGTAAGACTTACTGTTAAAAAAACGTAATGTTTTTTTAAAGAAGACTCTTCTGCTCATCACGGCTGCATTTATTTGATCAAAAATACAGAAAAAAAACAGTAATCTTGCAAATGTTATTACAATATAAAATAATGGTTTCTATTTTAATATCCTTTAATATATAATTTATTTCTGTGATGCGCAGCTGTATTTCCATCATCATTACTCCAGTATAAAGATCACATGATCTTCAGAAATCACTCTAATATGCTGATTTATTATTATTATTATCAATGTTGTGCTGCCAAATATGTTTTTGGAAACTGCGATACTTTTTCAGGATTCTTTAATGAATAAAAAGTTAAAAAGAACAGCATTTATTCAAAATATAAATATTTTCTAACAATATAAATCTTTGCTATCACTTCTTATCAATTTAACACGTCCTCGCCGAATAAAAGTTAATTTCTTTCAAAAAAAAAAAGAAAGAATAAAAATGTACTGAGCCCAAACTTTTGAACTGTAGTGTATATTGTTAGAAAAGATTTCTATTTTAAATAAATGCTCTTCTTTTTAACTTTTTATTCATCAAAGAATCCTGAAAAAAGCATCACAGCTTCCAAAACAATATGAAGCATCACAGTTTCCAGCTCTGATCATAAATCAGCATATTATTATGATTTCTGAAGATCATGTGACACTGAAGATGCTGAAAATACAGCTGCGCATCACAGAAATAAATTACAGTTTAATGTATATTAAAATAGAAAAACCTTATTTTACGTCATAATAATATTTCACAATATAAAATGTTTTCCTGTATTTTTGATCAAATAAATGCAGCCTTGATGAGCAGAAGACACTCCTGTAAAAAACATTAAAAATCATTCTGCTCCCAAACTTTTGACCGGTAGTGTGTGTGAGCTGTAGATTGTGCACGCGCTGGGGTGTCACGTCTCCTCATTGGCTTTCTGTGAGAATGGCAGATATTTTGACAGAGCTGTTAGTCTCGTCTGAAGCGCAGGACCTTTGTTTGGTTCCCTGGAGTAAATCCTCCTTCACTGGATGTTCCGTGACCCAGAAAGCTGCCGCATTCATGTGCCACACGGGAAGCGCGGATAAAAACCACTGATTCCCCAGATCCCTGTTTTGTCAGAGTCTCAGCACTAAAGCAGGCATCTTCTGCCGAGAGGTGCTCCTTTCACAGATCTTTAGGGTTATCATCAGACGCATCCCGGTCAATTCACTTATTCTGCCTGTCCTTGTGGAATCATATAGACGTCCTGAATCTTCCTGAAGCGTCCGCTGACAGCACACCTGTGACACCTGCTGAGCGTTCGTGCGTGCTTTACGTATTTATTTTCTTTGTAGTTTTATGAGAATAGAGGACGGGAAGTGATAGAGATTGGGAAATCAAACCTGTATGGCCCACATGAGCTTCAGAGCGTGTGCACTACAGTGCTCACATGCTAGTAACTTTCTAATCATGCTAGAAACATGCTACTCACTTGTTAATCATGCTAGTGACATGCTAGTAGCATGCTAATCATGTTAGCAACATGCTAGTAACATGCTAATCAGGCTAGAAACATGCTAGAGACATGCTAGTAACTTGCTAATCATGCTAGCGACATGCTAGTCATGCTAGAAACATGTTATTTACTTGCTAATCATGCTAACAACATGCTAGTTACTTGTTAATCATGCTAGCAACATGCTAGTAGCATGGTAATCATGCTAACATGCTAATCATGCTTGCAACATGCTAGTAACTTGCTAATCATGCTGTCAACATGCTATTTACTTGCTAATCATGTTAGCAACATGCTAGTAACTTGTTAATCATGCTAGCAACATGCCATTTACTTGCTAATCATGCTAGCAACATACTAGTTACTTGCTAATCATGCTAGCAACATGCTAATCGTGCCAGCAAAATGC